AGTTTCGGGTTGGGTTGGGTCCCCTGGGCATGTTGTCAAACAGTTGCCATTATAATACACTTAATTAAAAGTGTAATATACTTAAATGTGTTGCGCTGGGTCATGTAATTATGTTATTTTTTTGAAAGCCGTCAGCAATGAATTAAATTGAAAACAATATACAAATTATACAAAATTTATATGTATTTCTGTTTTATGTATTCTCATTTGCATTTTTAATATCACATGAATTTGATGTGTGACTTTCATTTCTGTATATAGAAACGTGTATGTAATATTTTTTTTATTACGAGTAATATGCATTAATTTGAATGTTTCAAACATAGTCATACTAAAGTGTTTGCTATCACATACAGTTAAAGACATTTCGTTTTTTCTTCGATTTATGCGCGTTTTAAAGTACCATTCACTCTTCTTTTTGTCAACTGACTTTCTTCGGCATCTACTGATGACCTTTACGGTTTTCAATAAAAAATAATCTCAAAACAGCTTGTTTTGCCCAACTTTAAGATATTGGGCGATTACTAGTCTATTTATATGTCTATCTCCTCCTTGCATCGTATTTCTCACTGCTGAGGGTCGTGACCACCCTTTTGTATCACCTTCTCACGCATGATCTTTCTCCATCTTGTCTCTGGCGGCGTGGAGGGCATTGTGAAATGTGGAATCAAGACCGGTGCGGATCTGGTCGGATTAACGTATATTGGGCTGCATCGTTCAAACTTAAATGACATTTATACGCGTTTGTCTCACGGAAGTACCGTACATATTTACGCACCACTGAATCTTTGTGACACATAGATGGTATTCACCGTAATTTGCAATGACGTAAATAACGACCGGAAGGAATGCGTCAATAAAATAGTAATATCCGATAATTGACTATTTATTACAGACAATATACTTAAGTCAAACAATATTTATGACAGCTGGGAAACGACTTGTGGTCACATGAATCACTCACACTTTACACATCATTGATTTATAAAAAAAAAAATACACTCATAGACTATTTTTTTCTTATTTCTTGATAATTAGTTATTATTTAAACGGCATTCCTTTATAGAATGTCCCTAGCCTATCTACTTATCAAGTCAAGTACATGACATACATGTTTGTGGTAAGTTATATTTTTCAAAGAATGGCATTCCGTATTGGCAGTATTTGGGAACCCTTTTGTTCTTTATTAATTTCTATCGAAATAAAAATGATGTATAAATACCTATTTCAAGAATATCGGCCAGTCATGGCATCTGGCATCGTCACAGTTAATTCGCTACCTACCACTAAGAACACTCGTAAAGCTCGTTTGCAGAAAAAAACTTCAAAGTGCTTTAGTTACATCAAGAAGCACATGCAATTGGTTTTACAAGGGAATGAAGAACGTGGAGAATTTACCGATCATAAAGAGAGCCATGTCTCGCCATGAGAAATATGATTCTAATCTACATAAATATAAATAGGCAAAGACAAAGGTATTATAATAAATAATTTAGTCTTCTGTTTGTCAACCTATTTTCTTAATTTGTAAATTAGTTAGCTTAATAGCTATTGTCGAGGCTTATCATCAATGATTAATTATTGAAAATAAACTTATACTTGAAAAATGACAAAGCAGATGGTTACCATTTTCGTTTGTTTGTTTGCTTTTTGTATTATTGTTTTGTATCTATTAACGAGAGTTGTAATGTTATCGATAGATTATTTGAAATTGCTTTGTTTAATATTGATAACAAAGGCATATTATTGTGTATAAAGTGATTTTTTTTACTGATGGTAGGACCTCTTGTGAGTCCGCACGGGTAGGTACCACCACCCCGCGTATTTCAGCCGTGAAGCAGCAATGCGTTTCGGTTTGAAGGGCACGGCAACCGTTGTAACTATCCTGAGAGACCTTAGAACTCATATCTCAGGGTGGGTGGCGGGCGGCATTTACGTTGTGCATGTCCATACTTCAAAAACTTGAACAAAATTACAAGTTTGCAGATAATACCATTCGATTTTTATTGGCCGAGCGATACGACAAAAAGCAACACGAAATAATATATTGTGATATGTAAATCGAGCGTGTAATGAGTCATTCAACTCGCAGCATTGATTTTGTCGCCTTGCAACTGCATCCGAGTCCGAGGGTCCACGCTACTTCCTGCCGAATACGCCGATCAATTTAACTCAACGTAAGTTCAATCATCCACCCGACTGTCGCTTATTAATCAAATACATATACGTTTTAAGCCAAAATGAACCGTAACGTGTTCAATTTAGATTAAGTATCCTTCGATTAGGTAGGTCCTTTAAAATATTTTAACGTACACTTTGTGACCTGCACAATTGAAAACTTATATCGCACTCAAATAATAACAAGAGTTAGCTACTTTTGAAACTAGACTTTAAAACGATTTAAGAGTCGTGAGATCGTTTTAGCATTTCGTGTTAATTTGATCTTCAGTTTTCCGTAGACAAGAAAACTTTAAAATTTTAAGTAAAATTCGTATTATACAATGCATAAAAATTAATAATAAACTGTAATTTAAAATTACCTAGATTTTTAAGAGAGTACAGAATGTTTTTCTTAAGCCGGACCATTTCTATCCAAGCATGTTTATTGCGAGATTAACAGGGTTATTAATCAATAAGTCTTAATGAAATACAACATAATATTTTATGTCAATAACAGAAGATAAATACCACATCACCAGTAGGTAACATTGTACCCCACAAGCAAATAATACCCAACAATGACTCATTGTTTACACTGGTTACCTTACGACTAACACCTTTTCGTAAACAAGACGTTGGCTCCTGTATTACGGTACACTGATGACTAATTTTCTTAAAAATTAGTATACACGTATAATAATATGGTGATACGTTTCCTACTAGCTGCTTTTTATTACCGGTGCGGCGTCGTGAATAACATCCGTTTGTAAAATTCTTGAAAAAGTAATCATAGCGTCATATTTTAATTAGATAATTATTGGGTGACTGTGACAGAGATACGGACAGGTAAGATTCCAAAATATTTGAGAAACATCAATGAATCATCAAAAATAATATGAATATGAATAAGGCACACTATTCCCTATTGAATTTATGACACGAACGTGAATTATTGTTGATGATTGATTGTTGAAAAAAATTTACTTTGTTTATGTATTGTTCTTGTATTGTTTTACGACGTAACAAAATAATAAATAGCACCCGCATATCAAAGTACTGTCATTCTCATGCTACTAAATATGAAATTGGATACATTTTGAAATATGTTTCCGTTCAAGGAAAAAAGCAATTTTAGTTATCCCTGCTATTAGGTGGCTATTTTCGCTTTGTACGTGGATATCAAATATTTCTGTAAAGTACTATCACGAACCAAATAAGGATGTAACCAAACCAGCGCTGTGCTAGCGGCTTGACCGTGTGCTTATTATGGCCTTGGCTTTGATGCCCATTAACGACAGTAACCTTTATACATCAGGTGGGCCGCAAGAGCGTCTGATAAAACCTTTTAAAAGCGGAACTGAAATATACCTAATGCTCATATGTAAAATTTATGATACTTTGAATTAAAATTAAGACAAACAACATTATTAATTAACATTATTAACATTATTATGCGCCATATGTCAATTCTGCTGGCCAATATTAGAGGTGTAGCCTCTAAGGGTGATAATATAAAATGCTGATAAATACTTTAGAAGTGTGTGAATATAGATGAATCTAGAATCTCAGTGAATGAAAGTGTTGTGATGTAAAAATTATTACACACGCGGGAACGCCGTGTCTATTCATATTTATCTCCCACGTCGCCGACGTCTGTACATTTAGGTAACTTTAATGAATTAATATGTACCACTGAGTTTTATGTAATATCACTTTCACTGTTAAACTTTACTTAATCTTAGATGTGTCATTTACTTTATCGCGGCTTGTTTTCATTATAAATTTTAATATCCTATCGACATCAAAAAATTATTTGTACGTTATCACTTCGCCGTTTTAGTTAATAATCATGATATTTATGTTTGCCAAAGATAATGAGGTTATCCTGTATATTATTTCGGTGTTAGCTTTGTACTATTGATAACTATTTAAAATGACATTAAATAGGTATATACGTACAATAGATAAGACGTATTAAGGCGACCGTTAACTTATTATTAATTTATATGTAAATATTATGTACATTTTGTTTAGAATAATGAAATTTACCTACTTTATCACTTTAATCTCGTGTTTATTATTACCAAAGTTGCGAATACTTTTAGGCAAAGGCTTGGCGGTGTCTCTGGAATTTCTGAAATCGATGAGCGACGGTAACCACTCACCATCAGATGGGCCGTATGCTCATCCGGATATTGAGGCCATAAAACAAAACACAGTTTTCGTGTGTGAGCACGTCCTTACAAAGTAGTTTTTATTATGACCACGATTCGCCAATTACGACGGTAATACTATTCAGAATATTTCATTAGATACCCACTAAGTAAGATTAAAAGTTGATAAACTAATAGATTGAAATTAATATGATACAAGGACCTTACTACAAGTATCTTGCTGAGCGTGACCTCGAGGGTTCCACCAATACCAGGTACCAGGGCTTGTTTACTTTTTTTATATTTGTTTAAACGAATATTCTATTAAGCTACTGTGGCCTTGACAGTGGTATAATCCTTGGACCATAAACAATGTAGAATGTACACAGGAAATTCTAAGGTCACCCAGGAACCGTTTAAGCAAGCGAAAGAGAACAAATTTGATTCGAGACTGTTGGGTTTAATAAAAATAAAGTCAAGTAATACAGAGTGAACATGAATACAACACCAAATTATTGTTTTCCACGGTAGGCTATATACTTTAAAAGAACTTTTCTTAACAAGAATAACGAATATGCTTTAAAAGAATATGCTTTTTGGGATTTTTCTATTTAAATTAGACTTTAAAAAAATAGCTACATGTAATTAGTGCGTTTTAAACGTAATAATCAAATTCAAAAAACTTACTTATTGAAGGTCACCTCATATTGTTTTATTTCTTTTCTGGAGAACTCGTGAAATTCTGTATAAACGTTCACGAATTTATATTTCGGTTTTATTTCGACACCTTCTTCGAGCTTGTCATTGATTTCTTGTCTCCTGGTTAGAATGCCGTTCAATTCTTCAGTTGCTGCCATTATTTACGCGGCGAAAAATATTGAAAATCAGTTTTTTGCAGGGTTGCGCTTTCAACGATGCGAGAGGCTGCGGTTGGCGCCTTAGAGATACTGTGGTAGTGCGGACGCGGGACGGTGTGGGTTGGCACGCGATGCCTTAGGCCGGTTACAGTGCTCCACCGACCGTCTGTGCGTACGTCAGTAGCGCTTGTCGTTTATATGAAAATTCATAAATCATTACAGTGCTGGACTGACCGTACGCACGCGCATATTGCTACGCACTGCGTACGAGGACCGTCGGTCTAGCGCGTCCGCATGCGTGCCGTCGGTCGACCGACGCGCTATGGAAACAAATGAACGCGTTCTGTGCTGCACCGATCGGTGGACCGACGGTACGGATGTGGGTATCATCATCAAAAAAAGCGATTTCGTATTGAACGTGGCCAAATATATCGACACCGAGCGTCTAATCACCGAAGTTTGTCTTCGTGAACCGCTCTGGGACAAAGGCCATGTGTTATATAAAGATCGCGATGCCAAATTAAAGGCCTGGCAAGAAGTAGGTATGTGCTGATAATTCATCAAAACTTGATAGACATTCTGAAATAATTAAAAAAACTTGAACGTTCCTTAAACGTTTTCGAAAATAATAAGCAGCAATTAAGCTATTTGAAAACGCTTCCCTTTTGCGTACCGACTATACCAATCCGGTCAGATTGTTGGTCAGGAGAGCACTGAATGAAGCAAACTGACGATCGGTTAATGCGTACCGTCAGGACGGAACGTACGCACAGACGGTCGGTGGAGCACTGTAACCGGCCTAGTCGTGAGCAAGGCGCGGGGGACGGACGGGCGGCGCGTATGTTTGCCGCGCACCTCTGCGATCTGTGTGCTCAGTGCGAGTTTTTAATGTTCTCGATAGCGTAAAAGTTAACTCAAATTTGTATGCATTTGGAATAACGCCCCTAGCGGCAAACGTAGGCAATCTTTGGGTCTTCGTGTTCCCGGGGCACGGGTCGGGCCTCAGAGCAACCTCCTCTGCCCGGGCTTGGACTCCCTGCCTAACGAGGCAGGGGTGTTGATTCTGCTTGTGGGACATTTTCTTGAGGCGATGAAGTGATGTGGCTGAAGATGTGATGAGGTAATGAGACGTTCTTTTTTTTTTTTTTTATTGCCATTGTAGGCAGACGAGCATACGGCCCACCTGATGGTGAGTGGTTACCGTCGCCCATGGACTTCAGCAATGCCAGGGGCAGAGCCAAGCCGCTGCCTACCGCGTTCAAATGAATGGTGATGAGTTTGTTTTATGAGATAAGTGACGATGATGATCTGTATGGTTCCGATCATATAATGGTGGGTCTATCCCCATGATGTAAGGGAGGGATGGTCGTCCCCTCCAGATCCTTTTTTCTTTCTTCCTTCTTCCTTCTTCTTCCCCAACCGCTGCCGCTTCTTCCGCTGTCGACGCCCGTCCGCAGTCCCCGTGAACGTAGGCAAACGTTCCAACTCCATACAAATATAAGTTAACTTTTATGCTATGGAGAACGTTAAAAAACTCACACTAAGCACACTGTTTAATCTTGGTGTTACGACTCAAAAGGCCCCGATTCGAAAAAAATGGGATAAAATGTTGTTTAAAACGATTATTAGGAAAACAAAAAAGAATCGAATTGAATTCTAATCTAGTTCTTGAAGATTTCTACCGAAATCTATTTTAATTACCAATTTATGATTGGTACCACTGACCTGTATAATCCTGCCGCGGGGAATAAAATACGGTCCGGATCCAAGCTGTCCCCTCCAAACTATCGAGACTGACTTCAAGGTTCAACAACAATGTCAGTAGTCTGTGTTCTTCAGTAACTATCTAGTGATCTAATGTTTTAAATCACGGAATATTGAGTGGGCGATGAGCTTATCCTAATCTGGTCATCTTTTCTTATTAAAAACTGATTTCTCAATAATAAAAATACACAATATTAATTAATCATAATGATCTTAAACGCATAGAACATCTAAGAAAGTGAACCGTCTCTATATACCTGACGCACTTCTACTACTACCACTACTACTGCTACTACTTCTACTTTGTCTGATTTATACAAACAGGAAAAAGAACTAATACCTTTGAAGTCCTGGTGGCCTTTTAGTGCAAGTTTTTTAACGTTCTCGATAGAGCCCCTAGCGGGAAACGAAAGAAAGCTGTTCCAACTTCATACAAATTTGAGTTAAATTTTACGCGATCGAGTAGTTAAAAAACTCTTTTTTTTTTATTGCTAGATGAGTGGACGAGCTCACAGCCCTCCAGGTGTTAAGTGGTTACTGGAGCCCATACATTTACGACGTAAATGCGCCACCCACCTTGAGATATAAGTTCTAAGGTCTCAAGTATAGTTACAACGGCTGCCCCACCCTTCAAACCGAAAAAAAACTCGCACTAAGTGGACGCGTATTAAGCAATGCGACTATATTTAGTGTTCAAACCCAGTAGGAAGGGTTGTTGTTACATTTTCCTAATGAAATATATAATATAAATAACACATGCTCACAAATTATTTTTTAGATAAAGTATTTTTTAAATTATATCGTCGTTAAAAAATCAAACTTGCAAAAAATATAAGTTGCGCAGTTACTAGTGGTACGACATCTAGTGAGTCCCCACGAAAAGGTATCTCCACCCCTCACCTATTTTTGCCACCTATTCTAGAAACCTCGAGGGGCTATTCTAGATTCACCGAACTAGTAGGTGAGCTCACGGGGCTCAAACTGGGAGTGTTGCTAACACTGGCCCTAGCAAGAGCAGTGCTTCGCAGAATCTACCACATATTTATATTGTTTAATTGACGTAAATCTCATGTCTCGGATACGCGCTACGATAGACATCAGTCTATGGACTCCGGTAACCAATTTACACCAATTACACCAGATGGACTTTGAAGCTCACTCATTTATGAAACGAAAAAAAAATATTTTTAGTTACAGACCTAGTTAATATTTACTATTAATATACATAATAATATTATTATTAATTTATCATTCAAATTGTTATTGTAGCTAGATTTCATATATTAGAGGACAACAATCGTTTGTATAATCTTAATTTTATTTGTTATTTAGTAAAGTTTGAAAATTAGTCAGTATAAAAATTTGCAACGATTATCCTTTTTGTGTGATAATCTTTTTTATTTACAAATCCTCTGATTAAATTTAGCACAGTAATTGGAACTACTACGAGATAATCATATTATTATGTACATCGATTCTCCACATATGACGTCGTGCATTGTGACTGGTTTAGTAAAGTTGGGTTGAGAAACACAATTATAAGGTTTAGTTAACAGATGAGAGTATTTGGGGCATAAACAGCGGTCAAAAAGTACTTTAAAAATGGATTTAAATAATAAATTTATATTGTCATTGTTCCATTCACAAAACCCTATACACCGCCATCTACAGAGGATTGATTTAAACTTTATGTCACTAACAACTTTATGTATCCAGCTGTAAAACTAAACCCACCTTGGGTTTGGAATTCGGATTGTGAGACAGGCTAATCGAACGAAGGTATAAATAAGTTTTCACTATTCAAACTTAGCTATATACGTTAATGTCCCTGTGTAGAATATAAAATATTTGTTTTTTACAGTGCGTAATTTGCACGAACATTTATTGTGTACTGAGTATTATTATTTTTTTCATTTTGTTATTACTGACTTTTTGAATATCTTACGCTCAATGTATATAAAATTCTAACAATAACTGAGATTATCTCTTTGTGAACCCAAAGTCAAACATACTGCTAGACCTCATGATAAGATTCGTTATTTTTGTGTACAAAAGTCAGTAAACACCAAAATAAAATGAGAAATTGAAAATATTGAAAATTGTAGGGTAGTTAGCAATTATAATATTTAGCGATGTTAGTTATTCAAATGTCGATTAATAATACCGTAGTCCTCCAAACTAATAAGTATTCAAAACTGCGAAAAATACGATATTCAACCACAAAAGTACGTAGTTTTAATGGAACAAAACTCGTTGAGCAATATATCTATTATAGTTTAGTACAATAATTAGTTTCTAAGATTTGTGCCAAAATATTCTAGATGTAAATTTTATTTAACTGTGTAAAGATATTGTAAAGTCAACGAAGGCTGGGCTCGTGTTATGAATACCTACAATTATGGTATACCTAATAATGATATTTTATTGAAATAATAATAATTTCTTAAGAATTAAGCAAAATGTAAACTAAACTTACTTATTTCTTATGATTTTCACTGAAAACTTACTTTACAGTCCATTATCCCAAAACGTTTTTATTTAAACTTAACGTTCGGTGAGACAGAAAAAGGACACTTAGATACGCCCTTAGAGATACATCACAATTCTTTTACAAAAAATATATATTTGAATAATAATAGTAATCTTATTCAAGACTCATTTAACAATACCAAACTTTAATGTCCACTCGATTTGTTTTAAAACACAAATATAATAATGTAATAATATAATGTTGTTGCTGTTTCATTTCTTCAAGGAAATATAATAACAAATTAAATTACCTACTGTTTTCGTAATTTGGATAAACCATACATGGATTTCGTAGATACACCTACACGCCATATGACCTTATTTAGAAATGTGGTGTAATTTATGAAAAGATTCACAGCATTATGGCTTTTAAAATTGACATCATATTCGTATTTTTTATTCAAAATTATTCATAGGTAATCGTGACATCTAGACAGACATCTAAATAAACTGAAGGAAATCATCTGAGTCCTGTTTTAATACGCTTTTATTAGCTTCAGACGTATGTTAGTATGTATGTAACGGAATCTTTGAACATGATTTTTACCCCCTTCAAAACGTCGGATTAACTTGAAATTTGGCATAGTTATTAAGGACCGATGACAATTCAATATTTTTTTTAGTTTGATCCGTTATCCTTACTAGGATAATCAGGATTAGCTAGATTTTTTGTTTTTCTGAGACCCGGAGTGTCTGCGTCAAGACCAAGAACGGAAGTTTCCCTTGGTAGTAGGCGAGCCGATCACCTATTTCTCGGATAAGTTATCGACTGATTGAACAAATTGAATTTTAACTAAAAAACGAAAAATAATTAATAGTTTTGAAAAAACCAAATCATACGCTTTTATTGAAAATCCAACTAAAAAATAGAAAATAAATTTTAATAAATTTGAATTAAAAATAGTGTAAGAAAAAATAATTTTATTGTAAAAAAAAACGTGGGGTGCATGGTATCAATAGTTATAAATATTTTATGAACAGATATGAGTAGAAGGGTTATTTTGATAATATCCTGAAAAGCACCCCACGCTTTTTTTTTCCAATAAAATCATTTTCTCTTACACTATGTTTGATTCAAATTTATTATTCGTCATTAGGCTTCGGAACCCTAAAGTGGGACAGCTTTCGGACTATGAAGTTAAAAACGTCTACTAATTACTTTAATTAAAATTTCTATCTCAATTCTATGGTTTTTAGGATCCATTATTACATGAAAGCTTATTATTAACATTTTATTATCAGATTGACTATGAAAACACTGTACTCGTAATTTAAGTTAAATTATTCACTAATAATATTGTTGTTGTTGTAAAAAAATACGCAACTCATACTCATTACTTTTTTATATACTTAAATGTCATAATCCTATGAATTTTGTGTAGCGAAACTACAAAATGTAATTACAATTACCATTCTCTTTCATTTTTCATCGACAATTCAATTACGAAGAATTACGAATATTTTCCCAGAAGACATGTGTTTTGAATGTGACATGCAAAACTAAGTGTTTTTTCCTTAATTTTTTACTGTAAACGCTATGATAAGTATAACATGAATTTAATTTCGTAATTGAAACACCGGCTCCCTTGGGCCTGGACTAACGACAACGCCTTTTGGGGGATAGTTCAATTAAAACTTTAGTAAAACTTCTCTTCATATCGTTTGCTGCAGCCGCCATGAGACGACACTCGAGGTAGACGTTGCATAACTTTTTTCATTATTTTTTAGTTATACAATTTAAGTTCTCTCATACGGACGATGAAAAAAAAAGACCATACGGTCTACCTGGTGGTGAGTGGATACTGCCAATAATGAAAGTCGGGAATGCCTGAAACACAGCTAAGTCGCTTCTTGTCAACTCGAATGGTACGCGGATGAATGCTTTGGTTCCAGATAGTAGGGAGAACTTCTGTTCTTATGACAGGTATTTAAGTTATAAATTAAAAGAAGACGACGTAGGATTATATCAAACGAATGCCTTAAAGCTTATTTTACAATTATGTAGGTATGGAAAGGGCTATTAATATATTGTTCATCTTACAGATCCGGAAGCACCGGAAGGATCCCTGACCATGATTTGGAGAAAAGCCGTGAGATAAACGAATACCTGAACTTCAAGGATAAACCTAAGAAATCAAATTTTATCAAAGACTACATCATAGATTACACAGCGAACTCAAATCTGCACGGTCTTAAGTATATCGGTGAAAAGGAACGGACTATAGTTGAGAAGTAAATGTTCATAATTAGCATTTAAAATATCGTTATTACATATAATATATTCATATATTATTATAATTTTGCGCTTTTCCATTTCTGCAGTTAATTTTGTCTTATAATTTGTTCGTTATTCTGCGAAGGAGTGTCAGCAGGAAATGAGTAGGTAACTCATCTATGTCGTAGCAGTAGATTTGACTTATTTACAGTTTACGAACGGCCTTCCGATTGAATTGTGTTATGTGTTCGAACTTGAATGGTGAGGTGATCGCCATCAACAACACAACTGACATTTCTACTTTACGTTTTAAGGTGTAGTGGTATTCGCGTTCCTATGTCGATTGGGTCTGTTAACCATTTAACATTGCATGAGCTGTTGACTCGTATGTCCGCCTACAACTAGCAAAATAAAAGTAGATAAAACAAAAAAATGATATATAAAAATGCTTGTCCGACTTTACGTATTGTCAAAAGGTATACGAACTCATTACAAAGTCCAGTAAAACTTGCATATTTTTCTTTTTAATTTAATTTCAGAATATTTTGGTTGTTTGCATTCATCTGCTGTTTAGTGATTTGCGCTGGACTAATAGGAAAACTGTGGAATAAATGGAACGTGAATCCCGTCATCGTTAGCTTTGCGGAAAATCCGACACCTGTGTACCAGGTAAAGACAATAATGGTTTATAATGACGTCGCAGTTTTTAGGTTTTCGGGCCCAAACAGCTAAGAAATCCTCATAATGTCTAGGCACATCCCGCACATCGTTTTGTCTGTCCGTAACTCACAACTGGTGGTAGAACCTTTTGTGAGTACGCACGGGTAGGTACCACCACCCAACCTATTTCTGCCGTGAAGCAGTAATGCGTTTCAGTTTGAAGGGTGAGGCAGCCGCTGTAATTATATTTGAGACCTTAGAACTTGTATCTCAAGGTGAGTGGCGCATTTACGTTGTAGATGTCTATGGGCTCCAGTAACCACTAACCAGATGGGCTGTGAGCTCGTCCACCCATCTAAGCAATAAAACAAAAAAACAATCTATCGTTTATTCGAATTTAATTTCCAATACTACAATAATTGTAATGTGAGATGCCAATGTGACGCTATACAATTGCGAAGAAAATTAAGTGACAAACCAATAACTGACGTCACCTAAAATATACACGTGTGACTGGAAGGATTTTTAATTAGCCGAGCTAAACCTAGTATTTTTAGAAAAATAAAAGCTATTTCAAATTTTAGCGACTAGTTTCGCGTATCCTACGGCTACATTTACTTTCAGAGTTTAAACCATTTCAGATACCTTATCCGGCTGTAACACTGTGTTTTGAAACGAAAGCTATGCAAAGGAAATTTAACTTCACAGAATACTATCATCTTTATAACAATACTGAAACGTACTCAAATCTTACGGAACAAGAGTAAGTAGTTTTATTAACATTAAAAAAAAAAACAGCACCTTGTACGACTTTTGTACCAGTCGTAAATATTTAAGCCGGTTTGAATAAATAGGTCCTAGAATTAATCAAAAGATAACAGTGACTCCGTTTCTTTTAGCGATCTGCTACTATTTCGTAATCACCGATCCGTAGTTAGTACCTAGTAGTATATACATTAGTAGTTATAATATACTCACAAACAGTTGGTTGGTATATTCCTAAATCTCAAATTCCCGATCACGTAGTTCTAACATACTTTAATTGGAAGAGTATGTTTCAACTGGGCGTTCCCGTGGGCCTGTTTAACTACAATAAATGAGTCGACTATTATCAAAGCCGGCAATGTGACTTTTGGACAATTATTGGTAAATCAGAAAAACGAATTATTGACTTTGTATTCCATTGGCAGTCACAAAACTGTTCTGAACGACATCTTAGATAAATAACAGGTTAAGTATTAACCTTTATTTAATGCAGGTTTTGAACCGTATTCTTTGAAGGAGACGATTATATTCAAATCAATCTGTATTGACATATCAATAACATTTTTTTGTCCAAATGCACAGATTGCCACCTTTGATAATAGACGACTCAAATAAAGCTATTGAGAAGCACGCTTATTTTTGCTACCTATGTCCAGTATAATGAGACCTCTCTCTTGCGTCTCACGATTGGTAGTGGCATTCAAAATGAGTATTGTGTATGTATGATACCACCACCATTGTGCCAATATCTGTCTGATATATCAATCTGACATCATAAAGTGTCAATATAGCTTTAAGTTTAAAGGTTAAACCACTTTTCAAGATTTGTATAATTAGTGTTATTTTAGACGACACCTTTTCGAAGATGTGTCTATGGTTTGCGACGATCACTTAGCACCACGAAAGGGTCGGAAAACTTCGTCTGGATATGAATTGGTCAATCACATAACGGAGGTAAGTTCTGTATTTTTTAAATTTAAATTCAGAGCATGATTAGTTATAATCTGTAGGTCGATCGTGCAACGTTTCAGTGCTTTATCGTAACAATAACGGTAATACTCTCCTTAACATTTCCATACTCTATTTTCTTTCTAATTTATGCTTACAAGACTTAATCCAAAAATTTACCATGACCCTCTATCGACAGTAAGGCGGCAAAGGATAGTTTACGGCTTAGCTGATGAAAAGTGGTCCCTACTGCCTAGCGTTGAAAATTCTCTCCAAAAATTTTCGACCAATCAGGCTCTTCAATTTTGATGTAGATTTATTGATAAAAATCGGAGAATTATAGGTAAAGCTTTATTCATGGTAAAAAAGAAGCAAAGTTTATAATAATCTAATCGTAACATGAATAATTAAGTTTATTCGTATTTTTACTTTATACTAGCGACCCGCCCTCGCTTCGCTTCGGAAACATTAAAACACACATGAAACCAAAAAAATTAAATAACAAAAAAATTAAAAAAAAGTAGCCTATGTTCATCAGGGACAATGTCGGCTTCTAATGGAAAAAGAATTTTTCAAATCGGTCCAGTACTTTCGGAGCCTATTCGAAACAAACAAACAAACAAATCTTTCCTCTTTATAATATTAGTATAGAAAACACTATTTTTTTACTTAATTCACCAATTTATGTATTTAGCAAAGGTCGAAACGCGAAGCCGAAACAACAGTTGAACTACTACAACATCGCATACGAAAAATAATAATTATTAACAAAATCGTTCATAATTAACGATTTTGTTAATAATCAACGAACGACAGCCAAAATACAAAATGCTTGTCGTATTTATTATTCGTATTTCGTGAACCCATACGTTTCTTAATTCTATGCGAATTAATTATACGAAACCGTAACAAGAAAATACTACCTTTAAATTTTAGTTTTAAACTAATGTATTATTTTCTTTCTATTCGTACACTCTTGACAGAGTTGTCGTGGTCATACATAAGTCGGATATACGACCTGCTCATGACTCTCGTGGGAAATTAGTGCAGTGGTTTCCCGCTGCCTTCTGCACCAGCATTTTAGGGGGCATTTGATCCCCAAGGTTTCTGACGCCTCTTCCATACAGGTTGCCGTGACGGGTGTGTAAGGTTATAACCGCCATTGCTCGGTCGCCATTGCCCCGTTGGTTTTCTAGCAGGGAGCACCACGGCAAGCTGATGGTCGCCGCCGCCATCCGGCGCGTGCAGGTGGGGTTGACAATAGGGCCGGTGAAGGTAGCATTCCGATCTCCCCTTACCCCCTTACTAATGTATTAAACTCTCTTAAATATAATACTTGGTATTGGTGAGTTACGTATTATTATTCCCTGTTTCTTTAGATTTCGCCAAATCTCACGGATGTATTCTTAGGTTGCAAATGGAAAGACATAACGAAACCCAACTGCTCCGATTTATTCTCGCCGATAATTACCGAGGAAGGCCTATGTTACACTTTCAATACTCTAGGAAACGATGAACTTTTCCGAACTGAGAAGTAAGAATTGTTTTTTTTCTTCATCAAATGAAATCAAATCAAATCAAAATCATTTTTTTTTATTGCTTAGATGGATGGACGAGCTCACAGCCCACCTGGCGTTAAGTGGTTACTGGAACCCATAGACATCTACAACGTAAATGCGCCACCCACATTGAGATATAAGTTCTAGGATCTCAATATAGTTACAACGACTACCCCACCCTTCAAACCGAAACGCATTACAGCTTCACGGCAGAAATAGGCGGGGTGCGGGTACCTACCACCCGTGCTGACTCACAAGAGGTCTTACCACCAGTCAGTACATAAAGTAGATGTAATTTGATTTATATTAATTCCCATTTAGCCTCAGGATTCGAGGAGGTTCTAACGTTTGAAAAAAAATCAAACCCCTGGAATTAAGATAACTGCCCAAACCACTAGCTTCCAAATTATCTAATAAAAAAAAACATTCACCACTATTATTATAAATAGGCAAAGGTTGCCTATTATCACCTGTTTCAGCCACCGTAACCATTTTCTTCTTCTTGCCCTTATCTCACATTGTGGGATCGGCGCAGCGTTTCGTTTTATATATTCTAATATCATGCTGTGTTTGACATGAGTTTTACGACCGAGCGCACACTTGACGTTAACTCTGCTGGAGTTTTATATCCATTGCAACGTGCCCAGTCAACGACTTCTTATTCATATTTTATCGTTATATTGTTCATATATGTTTTTATGTTAGCTAACGCAAACGAATTAATTAAATTAATAACTTAATATCTCATCTATATATAGTTTGCACAGCGACTATCGATATTTAGAGCACGAAAACCTCGTGGGGTCATGGTCTTTAGATGGCGGCTATGAGCCAAACACCCCCATAGAAACTTACCCGCACCGAGGATCTGTGAGTATTTATTCATTATTAATAGTACATATTTTTATTCCTAAATGGGCGAACGAGTGAACGGCTCGTCAGTAGGCTACATGGTATAAAGTGGTTACCGGTAGCCCATACAGATCAAAACCTGAATGCGTCCATCTTAAAAAACGAACTTGAAGGTTCAATTGAATGGTAAAACGGCTGTCCTACTCTTCGAACCGGACGGAAGAGTACTTCGCGGCCAAAATAGACAGGACATTGGTCTCTACTCGTGTGGACTTACAATACGCCTCACCACCAGTATAAATGGCGATTGGCGAACTTGGTATAACACTGAGAAAACACACGTGAATCCGAACATTGTTTTTAACGACACCCATGGGAAGAAAAGGGATAGTGCTCGTCTAGGCCATCCACTCGATTATGAATGTAAATTAAATTTCATCGCACTATTAAATATGTATTCCAATAACTGAAATTCAACTTTATTTAATTTTATTGCTTAGATGGGTGGACGAGCTCACAGCCTACCTGGTGTTAAGCGGTTACTGGAGCCCATAGACACTACAACGTACATGCGCCACCCACCTCGAGATATAAGTTCTAAGGTCTAAGTATAGTTAGAACGGCTGCCCCACCCTTCAAACCGAAACGCGTTACTGCTTCACGGCAGAAATAGGCGGGTTGGTGGGGTACCACTACCCGTGGTATACCTACCCGTGCGAACTCACAAGAGGTTCTACTATCAGTAAAAAACTATGTGGAATAAAGGAACCTACTACTACGTAATTAACTAATAAAACTATTATTAATTAAGTTCATCGTTTACCGCCATAACATATTCTTCCACTTCTTCTTATCCTCCCATAATATGCGGTGTCGGCGCTCCACGTCCTCTTAATATGCTGCATAGCAATTTGGCATGAGTTTTACGCCCGGCCACTTGCTACTTGATGCTTAAATTTTCAGGGGTACGGAGCAAAATCTGGATTGACGATGTTATTGAAAGCTGCAAATCTTGATCTTGACTACCTTTGTAAAGGTCCCGTCCAAGGATTTAAAGTAAGTTTCGTAAATGAGTTGATAATGCTTTAAAACAGTCGCAATTTTTTTGAAGTCATTATAGTTTTAGTTTGATGAAATGTGCTCACTTACCATTTACGTTCTGAAATGCAAAAATGAAGACAATTCATCCGCTGGGGTCGCCTTCTTGAATGGCGTCCGTGTATTAGCAGGCTAAGACTCGCAAAAGATAAACCGAAAACTTTTCCTGGGAATATGGTGGATGCAGAAAACACAAAACCGGTATATGTGGTCAGCCTAGAGATGGCCAGTGGGCGACTAGGTTATTAAAGTTAGTAGTAGGATGTTAAAGTTCATCGAAATTTCATCGTAAATACTTTATATATTAAAATTTCAAGATATTGCTGCACAACCCAGCAGAACTGCCAAGAGTATCGCAGCAGTATTTCCGATCTCCATTATCACAAGAAGTTGTGGTAGCTGTGAAACCTAAAATGATGACGACTTCGGAAGGATTACGACCATACGAAGCGAAAAGGTAAAATAATGAATAAAATGATCACATTTAGTCTAAGAGTTTACTTACCGAGTAATAAATAAATTATCGTCGAAGTTTCGATTGGCACTTTTTTTTTTTTTTTACAGAATAAATTAATAATTTATCGACAATAACAACAAATTCGAATATTTCATTCCCTATATAAATCTAAATGATACTATATAAATAAAAATCTTTGTTGTCAAAATAACAGCTGTTACATACTATTTGCACTTGAATATACGAGTATTAATAGAAACAATATTTTTAGCGTCTTTTTGTTTCGCAGAATCTTCCAAAATGCTGAACTGATTTTATTGTTAGACTAGCTTTTGCCCGCGACTTTATTTACGTATGAGGTGAAAATATTTTTTAATAATAGAATGTTAAGGAGCCATTTAAGGTACCACAATCATGCTTTTTAACCGACTTCAAAAGAGGAGGCTACCGATTCGACCACCAATTTTTTTACCTTTTTTTATTTTTGTATGTACCGATTTCTCGAGAATGCTTGAACCGATTCTGATAATCCTTTTTTCTTTTTTTTTAAAGAAAGGGTTAAAGGATTAATATCATCTTTATAAAACACCTTCACAAATAATTCTTTATTTTAGAACAAATTTTGTTAGCATAAAAAGGTTATAGTGAGCCAACCTTAAAATATAGACATAATAATATGCTGTCGCGGACTTTTTTTTAGAACTTTTATAGGGGAACAATTCTGTCATACATTATTTTAGCGACACTTTTACCGTTTCCGAAGCCACAGCGGAAGCTCTCATAAGGAGAAAAAAAACCCGATTTTGTAACATTCTTTATTAGTGTTCCGCTCTTATTTGGTCTCTGTGTAGTGTTATATAGCCTATAGCCTTAAACTCTTTCAGTGTTATATGTGTTTATAAAATGGGCTATCTAACACTGAAAGAATTTTTCAAATCGATCAGTAGTTCCTGAGGTTAGCACGTTCAACCAAACAAACAAACAAACTCTTCAGCTTTATAATATTAGTATAGATACTTGGTGCTATAGCTTACGCTAGTTATTTTATTAAAATGATTAAGGTTCCGCGCTAATAAATCAATTTCCTGAAATTGTGAAGAAAATACAATTAAAATAGGTTAGTACTTTTAATAGCAAACAAAACCACAGCAAACCTTTACCTAGTTCAGAAAAAGAATTTGACTAGCAAGTGCAGTGTTAGTACAGTGCAGCTTAAAGGATATTCTTAAGACTTTTCTACAGAATCGTAAACCAAGAGCCACATTTAACAGCTAAAAGATTAATATGTTGACAGGCGTCTATGTTATTTCCCGAATGAACGCTATCTCCGCTACTTCAAAGTGTATACACAAGCTAACTGTGAGATGGAATGTTTATCCAACTTCACGTATACGAGATGCGGCTGTGTACATTTCGGGATGCCACGTAAGTTCGTTTTCTTTAACCCTAAATTAGAATGATTTGAATTAGTCTACCGACTTTCTAATACAGTGTGTCTTTCCTATAAATAATTTCCAAAACAATATTCAGTGGTGGATTTACACAAGGGGCATTCGGGACAAGTATCCAGGGCGGCAAATTTTTAAGGGCGGCAAAATTTTGAAAGTATAAAAATTTTTTTAGTCTTATCGAGATTGCTCAATATAATTAATTAATTCTAATAATTAATAATTTTCTTTTTAATTGATAATTCAAGAAATTCAATTTGGCACTTTTGGTAATAATAGTAATAATAATCAAAATTATTTAATCTATTTATTTCCTTAGATATTTAAAATAATAATTGATTTTTCTGTTTTCTGTATTAAAAGAATTTTAACTTTTTTTTATGTAAATTAACTATGAGCCACCCTTAGTCAAAAGTTATAATTGTGAGAAAAAAAAACAAGTATTTATTTATGTTTCCGCAATAAAATATATAAAAACTATTATAAGTTTAGGTGAAATTCCAGTATTGGGGCGGATTTTTTTCCGGTGCCCAGGAACGACATTAACTTTAAATCCGGCCCTGACAATATTGTTTGATAATCCCACAAGCTTCGTAATGTAAATCATGTTGAATGTTCTAGATGATTCTAACATGTCCGTGTGCAACGCGGGCAGCATGCCGTGCATAAAACATGCTCAAAGTAAGTAAAACAATTTCAGTTACAAAGATTAAGTATTTCGAACTGTTTATTTATTTGTTTAGTTAATTATTTGCACAAACTGACAAACAACGGCCAATATGAAGTGCTTACCGAAGCCCATAGAGATATCATTACGTAACCGCTGCCACCCTACTTTAAACATTAAGAGTCGTAGTTTCAGTACCTATGTGTTTTATAACAGCCGGCCTTAAAACTAGAAGGCATGATTGTTCCGCGGTAGATTAAAGACAAGACGGTACCTACCTGTCCGAGCAATATGTTCCATTATTTTGTACTTATGTAACGTAACTTTTCGGTACGTAGCGACTTGGCTCTGCCCCTGGCATTGCTGAAGTCCATGGGCGACAGTAACCACTCATCATCAGGTGGGCCGTATGCTCGTCTGCCTATAAGGACAATAAACAAAAATTATTCCATTATGGGAATACTTCCACTATGGGTAGTCGTTCAGAAACATAATTCAATTAACTATGCGGTTTCAGTGGAGCTTGTGACGATAGCGATAGAAACTGGTTTGGACGACTCATTCGATGCTGATGCTCTAGACAACGCAAAGAAGGTGTCCGCAAAATGCGACTGCCTTCCATCCTGCACCTCCATAGAATATGAAGCTGAAACATCCCAGGCGGATTTCGACTGCCTTGCGCTTTTCAGAGCCTTTAGATATAATGTTTCTGAATTTGTAAAAGAGTAAGTTTTGACGGACTAAACAAATATAGTTTTAAAAAATTTCACTTGCAAAATAACGAGGTTCAAGTAGCATTGGGTAAGGCATATTAAATCTAAGAATAAATTGACCGCTGGGGCTAACGTGGCTAAGGCCGCATCAGCAACAGCAGCGTGGGTAGGCCCTCCCATAAATTGGACCGAAGACTTACTAAAAGTTAACGGATTCCGCTAAATACGTGCTGCGTAGTACCGGTCATAGTGGCGAACCTTGGTAAACCTATGTTCAGCAAAAGATGTCTGTGTGCTGATCATAAATGATGGGATTTGTCTTGAATTCATTCAGACGGTCTTTCAAGGGCAAATAAGAGTTAATTATTACAAAAATTTCAGTGTCAGCTACGCTCGAATTATGATATTCTTTAAAGAAGCACAATTCATAACATCGAGACGATCGGAACTTTACGGTCAAACAGACTTCCTGGCCAACAGCGGAGGTCTGCTGGGTCTGTTCATGGGTTTCTCGTTTTTGAGCCTCATCGAAATAGTATACTTTTTATCCTTAAGGTTTGTAACTCTATATAAATAATAAATAAATATTTGCTAACAATCGCGCCGCGTTAACTGGTCCCGTACTAAGTTCGTAAAGAACTTGTGTTACAGGTACCAGATAACGGAAATAAATGTAAGATTTTTATTATACACATGCATGTATTTAATATACATCCATAACAACAACCTTGGAAAAGACATTTTAAATTTCTCATACAAATATCTTCCCTTGGCGGGATTCGAACCCGCGAACCCCTTGTGTGGTACAAAAAAATATAAAATTATTTTTAAAAACGAGTCAAAACAATACAACGATTGGAGTCTCCTTTTAAGCGTGCAAGCCTGTACTAGGAGTAAGTCACTTACCACTACACCAGACGGCCGTTGATAAATTATTATGTTATATTTGTTTATTTGTTCTTTCAAATAGATAAGCAGTAGGCATGGCACATTTCACAAGTAGCATTTGCTATTTCATATGAAATGCAATTTCATACATCGCATCTGCTATCTCAAGCAGGATGATCTTAACGAATATCCATAAATGATTAACTAACTATATGGCCTGACATAATGTTATCATGAAGAAACATGTAAACGGTAAAAATAAGTAAACTTGATTTGCAACGAAATATGTCGCAATTGCAAGTTGAATAAATAATATTCTGGTCTTTTACTAATTTATACAGAGTTCAATCATTACGATACTTTACACTTCTACAATATCAGGATACGATAAAATCGTTGATAAAAATTGTTTCTGTAGAAACCGTTAATAAATAAATATAAATAATAAAATCAAATTAAAACTAAGTAGGTATAATAATATATCAAATGTAACAATATATTTTTATTCATTTCCAGAATCATCTGTGTCCTCTTCAAGCGAAAAAACAAAAAACAGATGATGAATTTCCCAAAAGATAATCTCACCAGTCGCGAGTTCTACAAATCATCAAATGAATAAAAAGATCTTGCTTGCTTGTTAGGATTAAATCTAGTTTTTTAAATGATTAACTTTGTATTTCTCTAGTCTACTATTTTGCTCTAGAATGCGTTATATTCTTATCATGTAACAATTTTATGCCTCTATCTATTTAAATTGAAATTTACTGCATTTTTCATGTTTTGCATTTTTTAACGGTTGTAATTACAAAATTAAAATGCAAAAATGTAGGTAGTATGTAATTTTTAAGCAAAGTGCTTATTATTTGCACTACATCACCACAAGAATATTAAGATATTTTCACAAAAAAATGCAATTTGTAAAAAAAAATTAAACAGACACTAATGTAAATTACCGGATAACATACCGGTATAGCAAAAAGGACCCTGTTTCGATCGCATCTGGTCCGATAGACACATTTCCATAAAAACCAAGCGTAAACTTGTGACAAGTTTGGTCTTTTCTATGTTCTAATATGGGGCGGAGACATGGACCCTAAAGAAGGCTGATCGAAGTCGGGTCGACGCATTTGAGACATGGTGCTGGCGGAAAAAGCAATTTCTTGGAAGTTACATCGGACCAACGCATCAATCCTGAAAAAACTAGGCATCTCATTAAGACGACATTGGACTCCAGCATCAATGTCGCTATCCACTGTGCAGAGGACAGGATAGAATGGAGGAACATAATCCGAACAAAAATGCTCCGTAAAAATCAGGACCCTCAACACTAGGGAATAGGACGTAAGGAGGAAGCATGTCAATTATTTCGTTCTATTTTCGTGTCACTTTATATTAAAACTTTTGTGAAACTAGCTTTCTGTCCCGGGCTTAGCAACCAATTTTTCCTTACCCAGGGTTCAAACTATTTCCATAGCAAAATTTGTCAATATCGGTTCACTGAGTTAGCGTGAAAACGTAACTCAGATAGATAACAAACACAAGCTTGTTGTGCCGATGAGTAGGTTACATAAGATACGAAATTCATTCGGGTGTTTGTCTGTGCGCCTGTACAACAAAATCCCAGAAGATGTTCAGAACCTACATATACATAGGTTTAAGAAAACTATTAAAGAACATCTGTGCAATAAAGCTTACTATAAAGTCAATGATTATCTAGAAGATTGCACAAAGTGGGAATGAGTTGCTCGCTCCGGGCATTTTAATATTATAATAATTGTTACGTTATAATACTCATTGTCAAAATTAATATTTAAAAAAAATAAAAAAATATTAAAAAAAAATCTAATAATAAACAAAATCTAATATTAAAAAAAAAGACATGCCCGCTGAGTTTCTTGCCAATTCTTCTCAGGACGGAGGCTAGTTCTTGTGAATTGGAGGTAGTTCTTTTGACGTTCAACAAGTATGTACTTTCATTTAAGTTGAATTTTTTTGATTTGATTTGATTTGTGTGAGGGTTACTTTCATATTAATAGTATTAAATTACTGAACATCATAAATATTTTTTTAAATAAATTACAAAAACCGATAAATGGTGATAGTTTTTTTGTGCCATTTTTTTAAAATCCTAATTCTCAAGCCTTAATCCTGCTCCAAATTAATTATTTACCTGTGAATATTACATGAAAATCCGTTCTGTAGTTCCGGACATGTGCGCGAACAAACAGACAGACAGATAAAAACAATTCTAAAATCAGATCTAATCGCTGATTTCTGTTCTATTGCTCTTTTTAGGTACCTCCTTTCTATTCTAATTACTTTTCTGCAATGAACATACACGCCGGATTCTGTTAAAACTATAAATATTGATTTAATTAATTACATGTGACACTTGAAAAACTTAATAAATAAATTATGAAATTGAATTAAAATCGTTTCATTTGACACAAATTCACATTTATTACTACTTAATTATGAGTCAAGTACATATTTAAACAGTGCTAGGACCACTTGGCTTCTTTTTTGGAGCATAACCGATTCTATTGTGAATATCTTCACTAGTTTTTGTTCCCGCTCCTAGAGATTTTGGTGTGTCTTCTTGCATTTCCGCACCTGTAGACGAAGTATTACTCTTTTCCCTTCGATAAGCTTCATATTCTTGTAAATCATCTAGTTTAAGTGTAATTTCCGTCAGTGGTCTCCTTATCATTTTTGCAGACTACCTAAATGAAAAAGACGTGATTGTGAAAATAATTTCACATACTTCGATAATTGTGAATCATTATTTTATGGTAACATTAGTAGGAACGTAATATTGCATTACATTACAGCAACATTTTGTAGAAATATTTATGGGAACATAAATAATATAATCAGAACAATACAGTTTAAGTACTTTATTTGTCTTGATCGTTAATATTCAAAGTGTTAATTATACTATGTAGTTTAATAAATTAGTTGACTATTGGGGGCCGACGAAATATTAAAGAGGGTACACTGGATAAATTTTGATGTAGCTTAATGTAGAAATAGGCAATAGGCAAATAGTACCTAGCTGTGCAGACGGCCATACAATACGGACTACCATCAGTAATTATACATACTTAAAAATTTTGCGAATAAGACTTTTTCATAAATTTTGTAGGTCCTACCTCTTTTTATACTGTAACTAACACCAATGTGCAAACAATGAGCGCAAATATTAGGTACCTACCTATTGATGTTGTGAAATCGCGTATTTTAATCGCGACTATTTTAAGTCGATTGTCGAAATCGTCAAATACACGAAGTGTGTCTTTTGAATGAAATTGTGTCAAATTGAAATTTCTAATTTGTCTAAATATGCGATCTATGGAAATGTTTTTTCAAAATAAACGATACAAATATACGAACTAGTACTTATACTTTGTATAGTATTATTAGTACTAACTAACTTTAGCGTCCCAATACATTTTTGAAAATTTATTGTACGTGCGTAAAAACATTGTAGAATTCCCCAGAGTCTGCGATTTGCATAATGTGAACACTAGGAACAAACATAGGCTTGCGTTGCCGGCGGCTCGAATTAAGAAAATAAGCAACTCTTTCAGGGGGCTGGGTGTACAACTTTTCAACAAGATCCCACAAAACGTTCAACTACTACCTGTTCATAGATTTAAGAAAACTGTCAAGGAACGTTTGTGCAACAAGGCATATTATAAAGTTAAGGATTTTTTACTAGATGGCACTACGTGGGAATGAGGCGTTCGCTCCTGGCCTTTTCATTTTTCATTATTATTATTATTTATTTGAATTGTATTTTTTTGACTTGCTTTTTCTTATACTGTAAATATGTTTTCTTGTTTAAAAAAAAAAAAAAAAAAGATTATAGTTGAGAAAATACAAAAAAAAGCCCGCTGAGTTTGTTTCGCCGGTTCTTCTCAGGACTGTGGCTTTTTTGGAACCGGTGGTAGAGTTAACATTTTGACATTCAACAAGTGTGTTTTTGATGACATCCAAGTTGAAATAAATGATTTTGAATTTGAATTTGAATTTGAATTTACTATGCCTATGGTATTAATTAGAATCAAAGGTTAGTAATTAACTTACCTTGGACCACTTGGACTATATACTTACAATATATACAAACAGCTATTTACCACATAATTTTAAAGTTTAAGTTCAATCTAAGAAATACAATGAATCAAAAGTAATATTTCTTAGTTAGCTGGTATTTTAATCGATTTTGTGACCGACGTTAACACTCTTTTTGTCACAGCACTACTTACCCACCATTTTGTAAAATCAATCAAGCTTTCCAGCTTTATGAAGTGTGACGTTTAAGTATACATCAACGTAGTATCTATTGATTAATTTATTTGAGTTTTAGGCTCAAAGTTAGCATTTCAACAGTAATTTAACAAACTTGAAGCACAAAACACTCACCAAAATGCTGTATCTTGAAGATTATTTGGAAAGTAAGTTATTTGTTAGACCAGTGACGTAACTAAAAATCCATTAAGACAGTTGGTAGCACTGTAGCGTCCTCAATAAATAAAGCGCAAAATTTAAAAATACCACAATTTGAATTGTTAAACATCGTTGACGCAGAATATTGAATTAGTAAATTAAGTAATACAAATAATAATAACAGCTTGATTTAATTTTAAAGTTTATGTGAAAGCATAAAACTGAATAAAATTTGAGATATTAATTGCAGTGATAGAACATCTACCGCAAGAACTGCGAGACAGATTTACTGAAATGAGAGAAATGGATTTGTCTGTCCAAAGTAAGCTATCTTGCCTTAAAACTACATTCATACATACAATACAATTACACTATTATACCAGACTTTTACTATATTTTGGTTATTAATAGATAACATGGACACCCTTGAGAAAAGAGTCCGTACTCTTTTTGGTGGATGTCGTCGTGGTGAAATAAATACCGATCAAGCCAATACTGAGTTTTCGGATATTAAGCGGGGCTATGCCAAAACTTTAGAAGAGGCTGACGAAAAGACCACACTTGCCAACCAAATGTATGATTTGGTTGATAGGTATCTTCGACGATTAGGTACGTATCACTAAAAAATCCTGTACACAAAATAATGTATGAAATATATTGCAACTTTTAAGTAAATTCAGTTAAATGAGTGATTCCATAATTAAAATTAATTAACACTCCGGTTTGCATACATAATTGTGTACCACTATGAAAACATGGTATGATGTATAATTAAACAATTTATATATTCGAAATATTCAAATAATAAGTTAAACATGCTTAAAAACAGATACAGAGCTGCATAAATTCAAGTGTGAGCTTGAAGCAGACAACAAAGGGATAACAGAATTGCTTGAGAAGAGGTCACTTGAATTGGATGTTAATACTAATCACACTAGCACATCAAACAGCAGTCATTACAAGGAAAATAGGTAACTCAACACAAATGTCAAATTAAAATTGTCTAATGAAAAATATCCTCAATCATGTTTTGACTAAATAGTTGGATACTATCTTTATACAATAATTTGCTCTCAAGAGCTAGTATTAAACTACAATTCATTGTAGCTTGAATCGCATCTTCTTTCCTACTGGAACAGTAAGTAACCAGTAGCTTGACTATGCCTGGCATTGCTGATGTCTGAGTTACAGTGACTATATACCATCAGGTAGGCTTATATGCTGCTGCATGCCCACCTTTGATCTGTTTTGGAAAACAAAAAATGAAACATTAATAAAATAAGATAATTCTTGGAAATTGTTCAGGTATCGCATAAGGCCAGAAAAGCGACGAGATAGTTGGGGAAATCGTGATTCCCAACGTGGACATTCCTCAAGCAATATGTCGCGCACTGACTCCGCCATACAGGTTTGTTGTTTGCAGGAGATTTTAGGCAAACTCAAAAAAAATCGTAATAAAAAACAATTAGTAAGAAACAATTTTCAGAACTTACAATTTAACTTGCAAATAAGTTTATTTCAAAGTACAGTGTAAAACTTATAATTTCTGTTCAAATACTTTCAGGCTGCACTTGGTCGTGAATCTTACTCTTTGGGACATGCTGGCAGTACCATAGCTGCAGCAGCAAGCCAAGCTATTGCTGCTACACAACAAGTAAATTAAACATTAATATATATGATTAATAAAAAACTTGTTTTTGGTTGTATAAAAATAACAGGTTCAGCCTAACTGATATCACTTTTTTCTGACCTCAAAACGGGAAAACACATTATACAGTCTTAAATCTACACTTTTTGGTCAGTAAAATAAATTAACTACTATTCCAGCTAATTACTTATAGACTGACAAATACTCTGAATAATAATTAAAATGAAAAGTATTTATACGAATTAATAGTTTTCATGTGAAGGCAGTAGTTTATACTCATTTCAGTTTCAGAATCTTTCTGCATTTAACAAATAGATATAATGTATCATTTAATATGTAATATTTTTTTGATAATACCATCACTTTATTTCCGAATTATGTTAACATTAATTCTCTTAATGTACAGATGCAGCATGGTCGTCGTACAGCATCATTGAAAGCATCCTATGAAGCAGTTGCTGGTGGAGAGCTGGCTCATCATGCTTTACAAACTCATCATCACGATCATGGTAAAAAAAATATTTAAAATAAATTAATTGATCATTCTCAGTTGCTCTACAAAAGCTAGTTATAAGCTTTTTTCAGAATTTCCCTGGGTGAAAAGTTTGTCTACAATTGGTTATCTGTCCACTATACCAATTATAATAGACCAGAAAATCTAGGCAAGCGCGAATTGATAAATTTTCAATATGAATTACGTTTGGGGAGCAGTAAATCTCTCTATCAAATTCACTTCAAAATAAAAATAAATAACAGATAATTGGTAAATAATGACAAAGTGTCATCTAGTCCCAAACTAGGACTTCCTGAATTATGGGAAACAAAGACTGATGCACATGCATACTTAATATGTTTAAACATGTCTGGCTATTAAAGACAGGCAAACTAGTTTGTCGTACCAATATTTTCCACAAATTCGACTTGGGAATCGAACCTACATATCTCGGCTCTGCTAACAGGGGCGTTGTTTATTCTGCCATTGAGTCAATCAATAAATACCAAAAATCTTCCAACATAGGTCAAGGTGTCTCTTCTGGGTCGAGTCAAATAAACAGTGTCCACGGGCACCATACAACATCACACGGACACAGCAGTTCCTCTTCCTCTACCAAGCGCAACAAACAAAAGTAATTATAAAATATTACCAATAAACTTTTCTAAAATGCTTATCATAGAATATTATATTCATTGGAATCAGAAAAAATCAGTTTCAAACTATGTAATTCTAGAAATAACAAATGTCAGAAAATCTGTGCCCATAAATAATATACAATGTATATTATAAGTGTTTTATTGTATAGAATGATATTATTTATTTACATTTAATTATTCTACCCAGGAAAGCCAGCTATAGTTCGTCAACTGTGTCATCTCACACACAACAAGTCACAGCAGCTGCCAGTCGCTCGTCCTCCCCCACAGTAACGTGAGTATAATGAAATCAAATTTACACAAATAAAAAAAAACAAAGTTGTTTTAAAAAAATTACGTTTGTTTTCAGGATTAATAACGTGGTGAACAATGTGCCCATAGAGGAACCAATGGAAGAAGAATGGACCTACGATCCTAACGAGCCTCGCTATTGTATTTGTAACCAAGTATCTTACGGTGACATGGTGGCTTGTGACAACCAAGATGTAAATATCATGTTTTTGTGTATTCATACATAATTTTAGTATTTCCAAAATAATCTTTTTAATGTAAACTAAGTTAAATGACTTGATTCAATTTCTTCATAGAATGCGTTAAAAAACGTCTAAATTTTTGACTAAATTTTTTGTTGTATGTCTGTAGATGTCTGTTCAATAGAAAAAAGTTTTGCAATAGAGTTTTCAATACTTCGTTTTAGCGTTTCTAACTGTAGTAGCACTTGTATTTAAGAGATATAATCTTTTTAATCTGACTAATATGTTATTTTGCATACATAACAGTCAGCAAAATTGTTATTAATAAAAATCGCCCTTTTTCAGTGTCCGTATGAATGGTTCCATTATCCGTGTGTCGGGATTACTGCTCCACCGAAAGGTAAATGGTACTGCCCGCAATGCCAGACCAACATGCGCCGTAACCGTGCCCACCGAAAGAATTAATTATAATCACACTGAAATCTCATATCATATTATTATTATTGTATTGTCATATTTTGCATTATCATAGTAAAGCATTGTGTTCAAAGATAAAAAGTTTTTTTTTTCTCCATTTTGTCTAAGTCAAATCTGTAGTTAAATGATCTGTATTATCTGTAGTCCAGTGGTCACGAACCTACCGATTTTTCAGTATTTCTACTGTTATGTGGCGTCTGGGGGCCCTGGGATCTTACTCTATAAAGAGCGCCTACAAAATGAGATTATTAAGTTCAAATATCGTCTGACGAGGTGCCAACAAGCACAAGTGCGAGTGTAAGAAGAGAAAAATATGTACATATTAAAGAAAAGAATGGGAAGAAGAATTTCCAGGCTGGATATTAATAGTCGGTTTCCTTTGTTGTCTAATTTCATTTTTTATATTTTATCACTTCCCCATTCATCCGCTAACGTTGAAAGCATATTTTCACATATTAATCTTTTGAAAACAAAACAGCAAAATAGGCTGCCTACTGAATCAATCACTGGGTCTATTTAATGCAAAACGACTTTATTACAGCCAATTGTTATGATTTTGAAATTAAGTCGAAGAAGACCGTGCCTATGGCCAAAAAATATTGGTATAAAAAATAATTATACATAGTATGATTGTTATAAATTAGTCTGTAAGTTTTTTTTTCAATAAATCAACGAATTTTATTGAATATTGTATTTTTTTATTAAATACCGATTTTGGGTACAAATATACCGATTTAGCTGGCAACTATACCGATTTCTATGAGGGACTTTTTGGCGGAAACGCGAGGAGTGAAGTTGTATGATTTGTTTTATTTTGTCTATTCAGTGTTTCTTCAGGTTTAAATGTGTAATAATGGTGGTTTATTAACTGTTTAATATCTGTGAAAGCGCACAAATGTGGAAAAATGAAACAAAGCCGCTGGTCGTAGCTTCTCGGGATCCTCCAAAAACCACTAAAAATCTCAGTAAATGACCACCATTTTACTAAGATTATATTTCATCCCATCTCATTTCATTTTATCCCAGTTGATTATGTCTCAAATTAATCATTTTCATTTCATTTTGCTCCTCATTTTTTGATACCTAAATATAAGAAAATAACTAAAAATAAGACATGACTTAAAGGTCTTCATTACCAGGTCATAAAATCCTTTAAAAAAAAACGTTCTATGACGTTCGAGAGCAGGGGGGTGCAACTCCGGGTGAATGAAGTTAGCCCCTCAAAAAAAATTTTTTTTCCTGTTTTCTACTTATTTTCTATTAATTCGTTTGTTCATCATTTGTTCTTGATTGTTCATTGTTAATAATTGTTTGTTCCCCATTTATTTTAAAAAAAATATTAAAAATATATCTAAAAGTTAGCCCCTCGATTGCAATTTTTAATATTTTTTCGTCCTTAATTACTCGTAAATATTCATTTTCGATTGTTCTTATATAAAATACGTTTGTTCTCTTTCGAAATTACTCATTTTTTGTTTAATTAATTGTATTAGTTGAATAAATGTATACAAAATATGTGNCATTCATAGTTAACACTCTCTTACCAACCTCATTTTCATTTCGTCTCATCACATGTCCATACCATCCCAAACGCGCACTCCTCAGCTTCTCTGTCACAGGTGCCACTTTCAGACTTCCTCTAACATATTCATTCCGTATTCTATCCATTCTCGTTACTCCACACATCCATCGCAACATTCGCATCTCTGCTGCATGCAATCGCCTTTCATCAGCCATTATTTATTTAAACTTAAACTTAAAAAACAAATAAGTTGATTTACATTCAAGAACTCTCATTTTCGAGTGCATCGTTTATCATAGACTGGTTTTAATAAAATAATTCCTAAATGACTGATGATCTTTTAATGTTACCGGTTTGTTTCTCTCATTATATATACGTGCTTAGGGTAGGTCTTAAGCGTTATTATACTTTTGGTATGTTAATGATTGTACAGGAAATTTTAGATTGCATGATTTAATTTTATTTAAATTTTCGAATCTAGAATGAAAATTCTAGAATGTTCTGAAGTCGTGATCGTTTGTTTATTGAAAACTTATTGTATTTATGCAGTGGTTTGTTTACTTAGTGCAGTTTTCGTTTTTGATTTAGATTGTTCATTGGTTATGGAAATTTAATTTTATATCCATCATTGTGGCTAAAACGCTGTGGCTAAAATCCTAGAATAAAAAATACGTTTTTTTTTATTGCTTTTATGGTTGGACGAGCTCACAGCCCACCTGGTGTTAAGTGGTTACTGGAGCCCATAGACATCTACAACGTAAATGCGCCACCCACCTTGAGATATAAGTTCTAAGGGTCTCAGTATAGTTACAACGGCTGCCCCACCCTTCAAACCGAAACGCATTACTGCTTCACGGCATAAATAGGTAGGGTGGTGGTACAGTGTGAAGCAATTCCAGTTGAGTACATCTATCGTTTTTATATCCGTGTCATGTTCAAGTCTCCGTAAAGTAGAAGCAAGGTCTACGCATACTCGTAATTGCTAATTAATTATTTTTTTCAACTCATCTCAGCTTAGTTTTACGAAATCATCAGTTGCATTGGTACTTGACCTGTTTGCGTTTAGGATTTGCCAAGAGCACGTAATTCAAGTTAAGAAATTAACGCTAATTGTTTCATTATTTAAAATAACAAAAAAAAAAATTAGAATAATTAATACAAAAATTAATATTTCGGATTGAACTAGTTTCGTTAGTAAAGATTTTTGCGTGCTTATGTTAAAGAGATCTGTAACATTTTGCTGTCTTCACACTAATAGGAGATAATTATCTATATATTAATACGTGAAGCAAAAACTTTGTATCCCTTTTTACGAAAATTGCGCGGACGGAGGAGTATGAAATTTTCCACACTTATAGAGAATATAGAGAAGAAGTGCGCAATGCTAATATTTGTTTAAAATAATGCTTAAAAGATACATTAAATCAATAAAGAAAACATTACACACACTACATACCATGTATTTGACGCACACACGCATGCATACTATTTATTGTCAAACTTTTGTTCTTGACGTCTGTTGTCAAATTGAGAATAGAATATGGTTTGTCTTTGTTAATATTTTTTATAGTGTAGTCTTGGCGAAATTTGTGATTATAGAAGTTTATAATACAATCATAATAATGTACAAACTTACAATTCCAATTAATTATAGTCGAATTTTGACTACTGCGGGACCTCTAGTATTCATTAATTGATAAAAAGCACGTGAAAAGTTTTTGCTTTAATACAAACAATAAGATAAGTGTACACGTTCTAATACTCACTATTTATCCTAAATTATTGTACCTTTAAACGAGCAATTCTTGTATATTAATATATATGTATATAATCTGAATCTCGGAAACGGCTTTAACGATTTTCATAAAATTTAATATACAGGAGATTTCGGGGGCGATAAATCGATCTAGCTACGATTTATTTTCAGAAAATGTTGTTTTATTCGTGTTTTCAATAATCAACTCTTCCCGACATCTATTGGCGAATAATAATACTATTTTTCTTAATTGAGGGCAACTAACCGCTTTAAAGACACAACAAGATGGCGTTATCAAAAAAACAACCGAGCTAAGTTCGGTCATCATCTAGTTTATCCTAAATATAGCAAAATTTAAAGGACAAATTTATTTTAATGATGTATATCTGTGTAGTGCTCGTTCGAATTTCATTAGGGTTGCTTCATTAAGATATTAATCAGAGATTAGTTGAGGTAAATGTAAAAACAATTATTCAGGGCTACGAATGAAGCAGATACGTGCGACAAACATGGAAACTACATTCTAAATAAAATAAAGAGAGTTCTAAATACATTTGAATCTCTGAACAAGATGGACGTTGTATCGATTACAATTATAGAAAGTTATAATGTAGTATATGTCATATAAAGAATGTTAAGTATTTAACTATCCTTAGAGTTTCAAACTTTTTGGTGTAGTTTGAAGATAAACAAATAAAAAGAATTGAAAATAACAAAAAGAAAAAAGAAGTTTTATTATGTATTAATTTCTTTTGAATTTCAAGATGGCGCCGTACGGACATAGGTTACAACTGATTTAATATTCTATAGGTAAATTTTCGAATACAACAAAGCGGCGTCATAGTTTCCGAGAAACGATTTGAATATCTCAGTATTGTTCGTGACAGATTTCGGTACCGAAATAGCGTTTCACTGTTCGTCTGATGGATAGCCACTTACTATCATATTCATACACACGTCGAATAACCAAAAAAAAACCATGTCACACAGCGTGTAGCGCACAATCAGTGCAGTAGGTTCACTTTGGATATTATTTTCGTGGGTTCAAAAAGAAAATGTTTTGATACATCAGACCTATATTCACGGACACTGCAAACTGGTAATGAGTCAGTCAGTCAAGTCTTCAGAATTCGGAATCAAAATCTAAGCTTCATTAGACAGATTTTGAATTTTTCACGCATACAGTATCAAATTCAGTGTATCTTTTGAGTTTTTTTGCAAAACATTTTCCAACCTCTAGGTTATTGTTCGATATTGCATATTCACCACCCAATGTACATAATGAATTAAATGACCTTGAACGACCGATTCGTTCCCACGCTACTAGTGCAGACCGAAACAATAATAGCTCTCTTACCTACCCCGTCCGGGAACATAATCCTCCAAATACGCTCACAAAGACATCCTTCGACGAATTACTGCGTCATCAATTGACTGATTCAATGAATTCTCGCAAAAATGTATTGCTTTAATTTTATGTGAGAAGATAATGAGTTAAAGCTTCTCACTTAGGCCACAATAAAAGATAATTCAAAAAGGTTTTCTGTTTTTTGTTTAAGTCGAGTGTCTGTTTTGTTTTAATGCGCTTATTTAGTTCGGAAGTCTTCGTGAACACAAAATGATAATTCCTCTTTTGTTAAATTATTAAACGAGAAAATTCAAAAGGACATTTCTCAATGTTATGTCCTCGTTTGTGAATATTGTGTGGTAGTTGTGACACAATTTTAAAATAACGTGTTTCATTTCACGGCTTTGATACAACTGATCTTTAAAAAGGAACTTAAATTTGTAGAGATTGTCGTC